CGTTTAACGAGCACAACGTTCTATTTAATTTCCTCCAATGGCAACATCATCTTTATGATCCCATTATACGTCCCGCCGGATAATGTCCAAAGTTAACGCGAGGAAACGTCGACGGTAATCGCGGTTAATCGTGAGAACACAATTCCATGTGTCGCTAACGAGGCTCGTCGCTGTTTCAATTAGAGTAATTAGATCGCGGCGCGATACACGTGAACGCCGCTACGCTTCTGTCACGTCTCGGTTAACACGCTGCGCCTGTACGGTCCATTGGCCATAGAATGGAATTTTCACGATGACCAAAGCTGTGCCATTGACTCGAGTCTGCAGGTCACTAAGCCTTTTCATCAGGTGCACGAACGAACGTATTGCTGTGGGATCATTCGAGAAATTGTGAATCGAATTAACCCTTTACACTCGAGAGGTCACCGCTTGATTTCATACAGTGAAACTATAAAATTTGATATTTAACATTATATTTCCTATGATGAGAAATAAATAAAATGACAAATAAAATACCTTTGTTCCTCAATGTACGCGTGATTTCTCGACTTAGCTTCACAAAATATCGATTTTATCTTATCGGAAGATGTTAAAATATTTCTAGTGAAGATATTAATCAAAATTAACCCTTTGCGGACGAATGTCGACATTTCGGCGAGATGAAATGATGTTTCGAAGACTAAGTCAACGAACGATTTAATTATTCAAGCAGCACGTATTTTCTGGTTTTTATATTTAAACAATTGGTATATGTTTTAGCTTAGTCTGCTGAATATTTTGTATATTTCAAAGAATCTTCGTCCGCAAAGGGGTTAAATAAGAAAACCCAGGCTGCGCAGAATTCACCACACAATTCGCCGACCTTAATCACAACAGTCTCGACGACTTACTGGTGGAAATCTTCCGAGTGCAAAGGGTTAAACCACGTTTTAATAAGACTTGAATAAAATCGCTGCCGGAGCTATTAAATCAATTATAGAAGCAATCCTAATCCACAATTACTCTTGGGAACACGCTGTGCCAGTCGTCGTTCGAATAGTCAATTACACCAGTAAAAATCCGTGAAAGTGTACAGGTATTATAGTGTCAGAGATATTTATTTTCTTATTGTTCTATAAAATTTACTTCGGTCTCAGGGAAGAAAGTATAAGATACTTCTCTTCTTATTATTCCCTGGAATTTCCTTGTTACCCCATACTTCCTGCATTGGGAAAGAATTAATACGAAAGCAGTATAAAATATCGGGAGCATAATAAGAACGAAGAAATACAGTTTATTATATTGTGTTAGATGATAACTAATTGGTCACGCGTATCCTATTACATTCACATGCAAGAACATTGGAACTCATTCGTGAGTCATCTGGTTTTCTTAGAGCATATTGTACGTTTCTTATTGGAAGTGATACATTTTTAATTAACTCACCCATTTACATTTCTTACGTTCTCTGTCTATTCTCTAGAATTCTTTGCACTCGAGAGGTGAATCTCACTCACCACTTCATTTCATACAGTAAAACTATAAAATTTGATATTTAATATTATATTTCCTATAATGCATTTTGAGAAATATTCAAATAAAATGGCTTTGTTCCTCAATGTACTTGTGATTTCTCGTCGACTTAGTTTCACAAAATATCGATTTTATCTCATCAGAAAATGCTAATAGATTTCTAGTGAGAAACTTCCGAGTGCAAAGGGTTAACCCCTTGCCGTACAATGACGAATGAGACTCGTACTGAAGATTTCTAGACTAATTTAACAACAATAAAAATTATTCATTACTCTTGGATCAAAACAAACAAATATTTTCCTATTATCAACGTATTGTCTTCAAATGAAATTTCCACTTGAAGTAGAATGGAAAATTTTGTTGCATTTCTTCCAAGTTGTCGATAGTAAAATATTACACAAGCTTAAAATTCCAATTTCTTATGTTTCCAATATATTCACTATAGAATTCCATCTACTCACCCTGAAATTCCAGTTTCTCACATTTCCAATCAATACACCCTATTTTCCCTCTTAAACAAGAAGTAACATTCAAATAATCAAAGACTAACACTAAAACTACTTCAATTGACTTTTGAAAATTTCACTATAGAAACTCCAAGAGTGCATCTGTTCAGACTTCAATCGATTTACAATTGAATTTGCGTAGTGCTAAATGAATTTCTTCAATAATTTCTCAGAGAAACATTTGTTACCTTTCTAATAATCACAAACAGAAGACATCATGGGTAATTTGACTCGTCTGTTAGTTTTAGTGCTAAAGAACCTCAGACAAATCAGCAGTCTTCAAAATTATTTCCTCTCGAAGCACTCAAGCTTCCGAGTCGACGTCGGAGCGACGCTCGTTAACGGGCGCGTATTGTAATATGCAAAACAGGAAAAAGGGGAATGGTCCAATTTGGTGAAACTGTACGGTTGCGTAACCGACGTTACGACGGTTCGGCGTCATATGAGATAATGCTACGAGAAAGCGGCCGGCTGCACCTTGAGCGGTCGCCGGACGATTTTGCAACGTCGCCCGCGACGGTGTCGATTTATATTAGTCGAAAATATTCGGGACGGACATACCCGTCGGATAGATCGGTTTTCGTAAGCGACCATTGCACCGGGTGGTCCGGGCGCGACGCGTCGCGTATAAATGCGCGATTATATAATGACCCGGCGATGCTCTTACTTTCCATGTTAGCCGCGGAACGCCGGGACGCGGCGCGTGGGACGGAGCGTGTCGACGGAAAAATCGGCGGAGACGAAAGGTCACGCGAGATCCTCGAATTCTTCGAATACGGATGCAGCCGATTAATAGCCGGCAATTACTTCCTCGTTTTCTCTATAACATACGAAAACGCGGCTTTAATTCCGGAACGGCGCTTTCATCGGTAAATAGACGCCGAGGATCGTAAACGATTACTTTCGTTAAAGATCGTAATTGTTCGCGTTCCCCTGAGTTAGTTTAAGGAAACGTCGCAGTCGAGTTGCGCAACGGGTTGAAGTATGAATTCTTGATCGGTAATGTTCCTTTATTTCGAGGTTACCGCGGCGTCCATGAAACGCAATGGAACGGAAAGATCCGGGGAAAAGTAGCTGGAATGAGATCGTAAACTATGGATATGCGTTTAATAAATCGCGTTAAGTAATTGTAAATAAAGCTTAACCAGTCGACGCGATGTAGGAAGTCGGGGCTCGTTAAACTTCGATGACGGGGCGCGTATAATTCTAAGGTATGCGGCATTATATAAAGTCGTTTCATGGAAATCCTGATTCCTGAGAACGTCCCGCGTGGATTACAATAAATCATGTTACGCTGTTGGTGCGCAGTGCGATGCGGTGTGTGTTCGTTCCGTTTTATGGGAGAAATGTCACAATCGCTGAGGACACCGCGATGTCGTGTTTAAGCTTGAACTTAGCGAGAAAGAATACCTTTCGTAGACGCAGCGGTTTTCTTTTAAGGAATACAGAACGTCCTTGCACTACTTTCAAAATGGCTGCCACTTGATTATACTGAACCTAGTTCAGCGTGTCGTATGTTGGCTTTTTGTAATTTCGTAAAAAGTGGTACCATTCTTTTATCCATTTTTTTATTGGAAGTGTCGTGTTCGGAGTGTGGAGTTTCTTGAGATCTTAGACTGTTGAAGAATATTAATAATCTGTAGATAAAAGATAGTTTTATCGTCGGATGTTTGTATGATTGAATTACGGGGTTTTCGAATTTAACGGAGTATTAAAATAAATAAATAAGTTTCGATGAAGCTACTGTTAATGAATAAACTTACTGCAATCACAACTTGAATATTTTTTAACCTGAAAGATTGCAGAATATTTATCAGTGTATAATACCAAAGAATGTTTTATATAAAATATGTAATACTAGATGACTATCTATATTCATTGTCGACTCTACTTTCACAGCTGACTACTGTCAAAACATCTTCAACATCTTCCAATCATGATAGACGTGAAGATTTAACTCGCTAGGAAAGTGTATTCTAAAACACCTCCCTGAAAGCACCTCGTCAATCTTGAATTTGCATAAAGATCCGCAGTGTACTCGTGACCTACCAGCAATGTGTCAACCTATTCAATTTCACTGTCAACCTCACTTTCGCAGCCAACCAGTTCTAGAACATCAACATCTCCAACCAACCAAAATTGTGATGATTTAGCTCCCTATAGAACCGTATTCTGAAACTCCACCTTTGATGCGTTGACAAGCACAAATGTCATGCAATTTCTTCATGTCTAAATTAAATATTATTTTCCTATAATCAATTACGATGCCTTCTTACGAAGGCACGTATAAAATGTTTCTTCTATTGAATTATAAACAGCAGAACTGTTCTTTCGAGTGCAGTTCTCAAAGAAACCATAGTGCAAATTAACTCAATCTTTTTCCAGTAGCTTTCTACTAAAGTCCTATAAAATCATCTCCCCTTCTATCATGATTATGCAATATCAATACATTGAATCTCACTATCAACCTCACAGCCAATCAATTCCAAAACATCTTCCACCGACCTAAATAGATATAAAAATGTCCACTAATTAAAATCCCTACAATCATCTCCTATCAAGATTACACAATATCAATCTAAAATTCGATAACCAGCGTCACTTTCGCAGCCAACCAGTTTCAAAACGTCATCTCCCACCAACCAAGATGCGACTCTATTCCGAAACAGAACCTAAATCATCCTCCAGTGACCTCCCACCACGCCAGTCTCCTCCAGAATCATCTTCCCTTGTCAGGATATTGCGCAATGCACGCGAATCGGTTCGCGCGGCTCCCTGCCACAAGGATCGGCGGCGATCTGGCGATTTCGAGAGCCGAGAGAACGAGGCTGCGTGGGATTCGCGGAGGAAATCGGACCTGCCCCACCTGCGGCTCGCGGCGCGGCGCGGCGCGGCGAGGCGAGGCGAGGCGAGGCGAGGCGAGGCGTGCGCGATTCTCGATCCTCGATTCTCGATTCTCGAAGGGGCACACATGCTCGCCTTCGTTCCCCTTCGGCTCGCTAAAGACATCGGGATCTCCTTCACCGTGGTCCTCAAACGAGGCTCGCGCTCCGCCAGGCACACATCTCACGCACTCGCCGCTCACGCTCGCTCGTAAGTTGTCACCGATCAACACGTCCGGCGTACGCCTGTATTCTTTTCTGCCGGTACCACGTGGCTTCGTCGACACTGTCTTCGTTGCACTGACCATTCTTCCGAATCTTTCGACGCGCGTCCTCTTCTTCTCTTATCTTCCGCGGTATCGGTGTCTTCGAGTTTCATCTTAATTTGTGCTTTTCGTCGCCTTCTTGTTTTCGATAGTATTCGTAGAATTGATTTCCAGTGTTCTTTTCGTTATGTACACTTTGCTGAACGGTATACTTACTATACGGTGTCTTCGAATTAGCTGATTCTGTGCTTTTCGTTGCTTTCTTGCTTTTGATAGTATTTGTAGAATTGATTTCCAGTGTTCTTTTTGTTATGTATACTTTGCTGAACGGTATACTTACTATACGGTGTCTTCGAGTTTGATTTTGTGCTTTTCGTCGCCTTCTTGTTTTTGATAGTATTTGTAGAATTATTTCCAGTGTTCTTTTTATTATGTATACTTTGCTGTCAGGAATTCTGCTTCAATTGATTCTATTGTATTTTATTCAATTCTGCTGTTTGTAATCTTGATCGTGTCTTATTTGTCTAGTGTCTTTTAAATCATTTCACTTATTTCATCATTATTCACACTATGAAACTTTCTTCGTTACAATTAGCTCTCGGAGATTGTTGCCTTCAAGTAGCTTCGCTCTTCTTACCTTATCCACGTGCAATTAATCCTTCGATCATCACCGCCACTTCCACTGTCAATTCGTTCGCTACAATCGATTCCATTCGCTCCATCAGTTCACTCACGGTCACCGTCGTTATCCCGGACAATCCGTCAGCTGTTTTTCGCGGCTGGTTACCGGATTCGTTCTGGCTAGTCGAACCCGCGGCCACAGACGTCACAATGGCGGTGTTACTTTTACTTTTCGCCTGTCCAGTGTAACGCACGCGTCGATCGGCACGATTAATGACCGTGGTCCTGCGGTTCAGCTGTACACCTGCTTCCAACGAATTTCCATTGAACCTTGCCGCCCTTTCACTTGATATTTCGACTGAAACGCGACGCGACGCGACGCGACGATTTTGTATATTTGAAGAACCGCGCCGCTTGCTCAAACTACACGTTGATTTCCCCCAGAGCAAACAAACTGAATCGCAGGAAGCGGAGGAGGAGAAGGCAAAATGAGGATAAGCTGCGTGATTCTGCTCGGCGCGACGCTGCTCGCGACTATCGTCGCTGCCAGCCCCGTTGTCAAGAGGGAAGCGGAGTCTGAAGATCTGAGTCCGTTGAACGAGGTAGGTGCTGTTGATTTTAGGATTTAAGGTCTGTTCACGACCAGCCTCGATCGATTAACCCCTTGCCCTATGACCTCTTCCACAACTGTGCTTGACGAAGGTATTTTATTGCCCTTTGTGGTCCACTGTAAAGTATCACTGGACATTTTCCATTGACATACTCATAACTTGCAGCTGCAATTCACGTGGGAAATTGCTTTAAAGGATACCATATGTTAACTAATTTTAAATTATAATTTGTTTCAATAAGCAAATAAATGAATTCATTACAATTGTACTTTCTTCATTTATTCAAATTTACTTATCGATCTATAAAGTAACTTGAGCCTACTAGCACTAATAAAATCAGTGGAGCAAAGGGTTAATAATTTTCTAGAAAAGAAGAATAATTTTATGCTTATTCTATGTCCACGGTTGCAAGATTAACCATTCAGGATAGAAAAGTAATGTTTAACCCTTTCGATCATGGCGTCCTATAAGGATATACTAAATAAACGCTTGTATCTGAATTCGGTAAATTTTATTATTTAAATTTTACTATTTGACAATGGTGTCGACCTCTCTTATCAGATTATATTATCACAAAATAAAATTGACTCAGGAAAAAATAATTCGTGAAAGGGTTAACCCTTTGCACTCGAGATTCTCATTCGCGACTCTCATTCGCCATTTGATTCGATAGACCTAAATTCAGAACACTGAAATTCAACATTCAATTTTGTATTAGCTATCAACACATGAAGCTTAGAAATAAATTAGTTCCAACCCCTAATTTATGTAAGATTCTCCTTCATCAAACTTGCCAGCAGTACTATCAATATTTCAACAGAAAATAATTAATAAATAAAAACATTGTCGAGTGCAAAGGGTTAATTTATACCGAAAAAGGTGAATAACATTTCGATTTAGCAAATTCAACTAAACCTTCGTCACGAGTCTAACACGGTATCACGAGGCAAGGGGTTAAGGTGGCGGGCAGGTAGCTTTAGAGTTTGGCCTTCGGGTTCCTTAGAAAGCGACCGGCGAAATCGAAAGCGTAACTGCTTTGATGCTTCTCTGACGCAATTCCGATGTAATGGAATTCTGTGGTCGCCGTGACTTTATTGCACAGTGATGTTCTGTCACTGCGAAGCTTTGCTACTCTAGCTTGGATCGCTGCGTCGTTTGCGGATGCAGTATTGTGATGAAGCGATTGTTGTAGTCGACGAGTATGCTGGCGATATTGATGAACAATTTATGCTTGCTGATAATTCTAACGCATCTAGAAGCAGTAACAATAACAATCTTTGGTAAACAATCAAGGAATACGCTAGGAATATCTCTGTAAATTCTGAGATGCAACTTGGCTGTTTGAATGCTTGCTGGTTAGAATAAGATAAGCTTCTTATTCACGCAGACTAATTACTATAATGGAACTCAAACAATTCTGCATCGAGATTCCCTGCTTCAACTCACGGATCAGCTCTTCAGTTTCTTCGAGTATAGTTCTCTAAGAATCATCGGAAAATCGGATAAAGCGTCAACGACCGCGGCGAATGAATCAACGAAGTCTCCACGTTGTTGAGATAATTTCATCTTTATATATAGGAAAGCGTCGCAGATTAACACCATCGGTGTCGTTAAGAGCGCGACAGCCGGCGCGTTACCGAACGAAAAAGGAACAGATAAGATCACGGGTTACAGCGAGCGGTAATCGTTACGTATCGCGAAAACGGCGGCCGCCCAGGGAATCAAAATGTAACTCATAAACGGAACGTGTCGGGAATGGCGAAAGTGAAAGCGCCTATTCCAAAGTTTTATTATCTCGCCGGCTCCCGTGCGAAGACGGAGGAGGCGACACCGAGCGAAATCTCGCGCGTTGAAGGCCTACGCTCGCGATTTTCGGAGAGCAGAGATGTTCGATTCGCTTGTCCTTTTATTCTTGTGAGACAGAGGAACCTTGTTTATCTATTATTCCGAAACAATCATTATGGGATCGTGTGCGCAAGCAAGAGGCTGGACCTAAGAAATGGAAACTCCTCGCGCATTTTCGCCAATAATCCTCAGTTTTCGAGAAAAATGAGTCGGACATAAAAATAGATTTTGAAATGAAAGAAATGGAAACTCCTCGCGCATTTTTCCAATGGTCCTCAGTTTTCGAGAAATGAGTTTCAAATCTGTACCGTAATAAGTCAGCCGATGTGTTCAATTCTAGTGTTTAAATGATGTTTTTTATATTTATTAGATAACACTAAATATAATCCATTTCTTTGAAACCTATGACACCTTGCCAGTGGCAGACATCAAACTAAGTTTGAACTTAGTAACAAAATAAGACGATAAATGATATTACCATAATAAATACAAGTTACCTAGAGATTATAATTCAAAGAAAAGCAAAAAAAAACGGAGAAACAGAATTTCAAACATGGAGATTCGGAACGCAGCTTGTGGTCTTCTGATCTTATTGCAATAATATACAAGTTCAAAGCTCATTTGTTTCAAAAACGGAGGTCCATTGTCAAGAAAGCCATAAGATCTTCTCATTTATAGATACGTACTATGACATATATAGGGTTTCACTCAGAAACAGATTTTCTGGCCCTCTCCCTGTAAGTTCCACTCAGAAATCGATCGATCCTCGATAGGACATTATTCGCGAGCGTGGTTTGATCGGGTTTCGAAGATGACGAGGATCGACACGCGGGGAAAGACGATCCCGACGTCGAAAAAGAGAACCACGATCTCGAGGAACGAGCGGAGAGAGAAAGTGGTTGACTAACTCCACGGACGCAGACAGGCAGAGCCGGATACGCGCGTAACTAAAATTCTGCTGCGCGCACGTGGCCACTCGCGAGGGCCGTTTCTTAAAACGTCTCTCTTCCCGTGCGTTTTGCTCGTAAAATACGATATCATTTCTCCTTTGCTTTTCTTAAAATTCATTTCTCTTTCTCGCTTCTCTCTGTCGCTGAACATTCATTCTTTCTCTATCATTTTCAGCAGCAATATCTGTTCTTAGCTATTCTTTTCACTGGAAATTAATCTCTACCCCTAATTTTCTTCCTGGAAATGTTACTTCATCTCTCTAGTAATTAATCACTTTCTTGCGATCCCATTTTCCCGAAATTCATTCCATCTTTTCGCGCAAATTCCACGTCTCTTCTGGAAACCCGACTCCGTTCAATCTCCACGAACCGCTGAAATGCTTTCGCTTTCTAAAAACGCGATTTCTATTTGTTCGCTTAAAAATCTCCCAATATCTCCTCCAAAATCCATTCCGACACTCCCGGCGTCCGTCGCTCGTAATCCCCCACACCTCCGCATTACCGAACTGAAACCACCATCGACACATAATACCCCGTGCATTAATACTCCGCATTTCCTGTTCCCCGAGATCCCACACACGCGCGTCGAACCTCGGATCGGCGAGGAAGTCCGAGCGTTTTGAAAGACCGCGGAAGTCGTTGCATCCCGCGGCTCAGCCTTTATCATCTCCTTTCTCCCCTTTCTCCGGTTACTCAATCAATGGGACAATCCCGGTAATCCCCGGAGCGAGTGTGTGTTTCACTGGAATTAATCCGACTGCCGTCAGGTGTACATCCTGGAGGCCGACAGCGAGCAGGCGGCCGACGAGGACAGGAGCGACAGGGACAAGCGGAAGATCGGCGTGGTGAAGCTCGGCATCTCGAACGGGATCATCAATTTCGTCTTCGGCGTAAGATACAAACCCCAAAAATCGTATTCTCCGTCGACGCGAGACTCGATTCTAAGACGCAAACGCAAAGGTCGGCTGACTAACCGAGGGATTCCATTTTAGAAGCTAGACTCCTTCCTCGACTCGAAGACGAAAGCTCTGGCGGTGCTGGACGAGTCGAACAAAGCGAAGAACGCCGCGTTCGGCATCGACGCGCACCATTCGGCCACCAGCAAGTTCATCAGCGAGCTGGTCGCCTCGAAGATAAAGGCGACCAGCGCGAGCGTCGGCCCGGTGGTGAACAGCGCGACGACGTTCCTCGCGAGCGCCAAGAGCGGATTGGCCGGCGCGTTCGCCTCGAAGCTGGCGCCGCTCAGCTCCATCGCCACCGGCCTGTCGGCCGGGACCGCGGCCAAGTTCGACGGACACGGCGGCGCGAGCATAGGTAAATGATCGATTTAAGCGAATTCGGCGGACCGACGTTGTAGGATCTGAACGCGGAGGGGTGCCCAGTCTCTTTTCCTACGGTGGTGGATCTCTGCGGGGGTTTTGTTGAATCATGGATTGAACTCTGCTCGACGCACTGTATATATACACCTGTATCGCAAACTGTTCATTAAAGTTCATTTTCACGAGAACAGACGGAGTTCGTACTGTGCACTTGAGAAACTTCCGACGCTTTATCTACTGGATCGTTGACGGTCTTCTGGAAATTCACTGACGTTGGGATGTGTAAGGAGTTTCTTTTGTTTTAAGAGGGATTAATGATTTATGATGGTTTCTTGTAATTATTTGGCTCGTTCTCCTTGGAGCGATAGGAAGTCTGTTAGCTTCTGGTAGATAAAGTGTTACTCATTTAACACACTACTGGCTGGTTGTTTGGAATATGTCGGATAAATTGGTCAACGTATTTGTTTCACGATGCTAATTGTTTAATGATGCCAATTGTCGTAAACGTCTATCTCGGAAACTTGATACTTTAGCGACTTCACGCGTTGATCTATGAAAACGTCGCTGGCTGGTAGAGTGTTAATTATCTTGCTCACCTTTTACTCGTTCGTCTCTTTCCTCATCTCACGTGTCACATGAATTCCCAAGTAACTCTCCATCACATCCGACTAAATGACTATAACATCCAAATCGTGAATTCACTTTCTTCAAAGTACATTACCTCTTACTCCGAAATTCAAAACTGCACACTTAAAATGATCAATCATTCCCTCCAGAAACACGTAGAAGCAATATGAATCTCTATCCAAACATACATCAGGCAATCGAAATAAACATAAACATTCCACCAACTCTTCCAAGCATAGCAATAATTTCCATAAGAATCACAAAACGCGTCGATTCGAATTGCAATTACACTAGAAAGTCCCAGAATCTCCGAAAATCTAGTGAAATTCATTCCCTCGGACAGGTTTCGATACTCGGCGAAGGAATTAAATTCGCTTTGAATATGTCGAGATGTTTCCCTTTCAAGCGATAGTAACGGCACTTTCGTGAAATTCAGGAGTTTCAGATCACGGTAACGGCGGAGGCGCCTCAGCGGCGATCCTAGGGAACCTGCTCAGCTCGAGCCTCAGCAGCCTGTCGGCGTTGAGCCAAAGCGGGGGAGGAACCTCAGATTCCTCGGACAAGAACGAGGCCAGCGCCGGAATTAACCTTGGAGCGTTTGCGAATATAGGCGGAGGGGTAGGATCAAATTAACTCTTTCTCTTCTCACCTCTCGCGTTCCCCTGGATCTGTCCGATGCGTGGCTACTGCTTGAGACCTGATTCCGTGAATGTTGTTCCTCGTGGCGGGGATTAACCTCAGATAGATCGGAGAACGAACGGCTCGGAGCAATAGTGATCTAACCACTTTTTCCGAGTGCTCGCGGAAAAAAGCTTTTGCGAAATGTTCTCGGATTGAATATTAATATCGCGATATTACTAATGGCACTAATCAACAACGATAATCAGTGTTAATCGTGATTAATAGTGGTGATTAACTGTTACTCGGAATACGACTTATTGATTATTGATATTAGTGATATTAATACTTAATTCAAGCACATTGCACGGAGCCCTTCCTCGGGGATTCAGAAATATTACACTATTATCCTGAACCAATCTCCCTAACTAACCTTCTGCAGGGAATTTAGTAACCTAGAACTGCTTTCCATAGAAAAATGAATATCGAAATCTTAATTACTAAAACGAAACTCACGGTGATAAAATTATTTGAAACTTGAAATTACTTTTTTGCGCCTGTCGATCATAGATAAGCAATGTTGAAAGTCTGTTCGCATCGAAAAAAATAATTTATCGTCACTCGTACGGCGAATATTAACGTTCATCAGCGGTTTTTGCGTTGGCAAAGAAACGATTCCCGAGGGAAGTACTGGAAATAAATTCTGCGTATGCAGACAAGTCGCTCGGCCGCGAGACTCGGACTTTCTAACACGAAAAATATATTATTTCTGTTGCGCGGACGCCGGCGTACGGAGAGAAGTCTCTTTATCGTCGCTTGTCTTCGGCGCTGATATTAGAAAATCGTTTTTGCTCGGATACCTATTGATACGCCGCGAGGTAAAAACTTTAATTACCTAATGTAAAGGTAGAAAGTAACGGTTACGTATGCAGATAAACCGCTCGGTCTAGATGCTCGGCCTATCTTGGGTTAATCCTCGGTTCTCTTTTTGTATTGTTCAATGGTAACCAGCCGCGAGATCTCAGTTCTACCCTTCCGCTTTCTATCCCCATGGTGTCAGAAAGGTGTTCGACGCGCGAATCAATCCTAAATGGAAGACTCGGTGCGTAGCGAGGCGATATTTAGACGATTGTAGTTTCTCCTAACCGTTCGAGTGCCAGACATCACGATCGCCGCGTCTCCGGTTCACTGCCTAAAAGTGCCAGCCTGTCGGTTTGTAAAGTCAAATCGAGTTTACGTATTTCTCTTTCGATCGTTTATTTTTCATGCTCGTCACTCTCTGCTTGGCAATCGAAAAATAGAGCGGTCGTTTCGCAGCGTTGTGTGTGGAATTAGGAAACCGTGATTGGGTATTTGTGGAAAAGCTTGTAAGCGAAACGCGCGATTTTTCAAGAGAAAGTTAACGTCGTGCTGAACTTTGTGTTACAATGGAGTCTATCGATATTACCAATACTGCGAATTACTGCTGCTATTAATTATTTAGATAAGAAACTGTCATTTCAATCGTTTGCTATAGAGATAATAAGAAATAAATAAGTAGAATTAGAAGTTTGATACGAAATCAGATAGAAATAATAGGAAAAAGTGTTCAGTTCAGATTGTAGAGTTTCCTACGAAAAGTTCAGTTCAGTTTATAGAGTTTCCTATGAAATGTTCAGTTCAGCTTATAGAGTTTTCTAGAAAAAGTTCAGTTCAGCTTATAGAGTTTCCTACGAAAAGTTCAGTTCAGTTTTCTATCTGAAAGGAGATTGTACACCACAGAATAACAATAGAGGAAAGAATAGTTCAGTTTCGTTACTGACAGTATCGCCTACAAGAATCCTTCGATTCACTTTCCAAACGACCGGCACTTTTCGACTGGATTTTCGCGAAGACTTTGCGAAGTGGCACTCAATCGGTTAACGGATTGTATGCGGCTCGGAGCGTCTTAGACTATCTCGTAGTGGCTTGCATGCAGTAACCGCATTCCGTAGGCGCAGAGGATAAGAGCGTGAAACAGGCATGGCCTCCTTTAACCCGACGCGCTCGCGTTGCTCAATGCATTCGTAATTAATGTGTTCTCGTCGCGCCCGCGGGTGCATCTAATTTACGGGACGAAAGTTGCTCGGCTCGGATCCCTCTATAATAATCGACGATACCGGTCGACTCCCTTCGAAATTAGAGGAATGCTTCATTGTACACGCTATTAATCAAGCGATATAACTTCCACGGGAGAATACTTGGACGAGGATCGCTGTTCGGATCCCCGTTCAAGCATCGGTTCACTCGTTCGTTCCAGAGCTGGGTAAAATTTGGAGGGAAGTTACTTTGAATATTGTTTGAAATGTCGCTGTATGGGTCTGAGGAACTAAAGTATTAAAAAACGTGGATTTTTTTAGTAATCTGTGATTGAGTAATTTTAAGCTAGAATGAGGTATGTCAATCACTTAAATGGTATCTTATAATATTGTGATTAATTGTTTATTTTTAATCCGGAGCAGTTTCTATAAGAAAACACTGAGAAGCTATAGTGCTTCATTAGAGTTTACCACGTTTCGAAATATGTCGAGTTACGTATGTTTAATAAGCGTCTGGTACTAAGATATAGTATACAAAATTACACAGTAGATCGAAGTAGTTCAATATTCAAAGCAACATTTTACCCAACACTGGTTCGTTGCAACGTAGAAGGCCGCCGATTAAAATGTGTGTTGTGTACGCAAACAGTACGAATACGATCCACCGCAGCCGGCGTATTATGCGCCTTAATGGGGCGCGACCGTTGGATCTTGGACTTTGGATCGTCCAAAAGGGCCATCGAGCAGCAACGCTTAACAGAAGATCCTAGACGCGAATAAGCAAACGAAAGCCAAGCAAAGCAAAGCAAAGCAAAGCAAATCAAAGCAAATCAAAGCAAAGCCAAGTAAATCAAATCAAAGTAGAGCAAAGCACAGCAAAGCACAGCACAGCACAGCAAACTTTTAGAAAGCCAAATTGCACAAGCGACCAGCAAGCCGACCATGGAGCACAAGCAAACCGCAACGCGAGCTTTCTAGCAATGACAGAATTTCACGACATGGATTTTTCTTTCTAGCACCACCGATAAAATTCCGAGGAAGCTACCGCCGTTCCCTTTCAGTCCCGTGACAAGCCTGCCCCGACAATGATCTAATGTTTAGCATGATAAACGTCTGTCTCGCCACTTCTGGGACAGACAGCCATCGACACCTCACCGTGAATCGATTCACCGATGCGCAAACTGTATATAGGATTAGGAAGTAGGATTCTACAGCTGTGTCAATGATGTAAATACAGTATCCGAACGTTCTTAAGTATTAACGATGACTATAAGGATAATTACGGATGATGATGATGATGATGATGATGATGATGTTGATGTTGGTGATAATGATGTTATGAAATAAACTCAAAATCATATTTTTTTAATGTACACTCGAATATTTTGATAGCGCAGATATCCTTCCTTCTATCCTGTTCCAATGTTCAACGGATCCTCCTTCGGGTAGAATTTGAACTCTGAATATTTTTCATTCGGTAGAATTTAGTACGTATATTTATATAACAGTTACTTCATCTAGTTCAAATCGTTCAACGCCGTTTGTTTGAAAGAAACGAGTTATTCGAATAAGAAAACGGAATAGTTTATCTAGGATAGTAATCTCTGATCAGTTTGAATCTAATTATACACTGTTGCATGACTCTAGAATATTCAAATTTCGTTTAGAACGGAAGAAATTCAGTATATAGTCTCATCTTTAAAAGACCTCAAATATTCACAATAGCTGTGAACCCACTCCAATCACCTACATTAATTAACCTAACAGCGAGGTACTATAACCAACATCGCATCTCAAACCTCTTCGTTCAACGTACCGAACGAAGTCACAAAATAAATCATCAAACACTCCACTTGCTCCAACCGTTCGCAACCACCCAATAAAACAACAAACAAAATATTAAGACGCTATGCATTCGATCCAACGAGGTCATAGGTTCGCAAAGAATCAGCTCGAAGCGTAGAAAATACATCGTCACGAATAGTTTACGATCGGGAAACTGGTTTAGGATCGGTGTAAAAAATCGCGTCTCTCTCTGTCTGTCCTGAAGTGGCGGCGATAAGGCAGCGAGAAGGACATTGTGAAAGGGGATCTATCATTGGTTGTCTTTGTGTGTGTTCAGGAAAGGATCACGACCACCACGGAGAACATCCCGGAGTTCGACAGGACGAAAGTGTCGTTAGACGTGCCATCGGAGGCGTTCGGCAGCGGTTTCTCCGTGATCACGAACATCAGCAAGATCCTGAGCAGCGTGATACTCGTAAGTCGAGCGAATATCGTGTCACCTCGGCGCAGCTCTGTCGAATCGAAGTGAAACCGACCGTGCCACTTCGAGACCCGTTCGTCGGAGGCTTTGATCGGTCCTGGCCGGGATTTTAGAGCGCGATCGATGGTGGGACGAAACGTTTTCCTGTTCGAAAGTCGCGGATCGACGTCCAGGTTCCCTCGCGACACCTCGTTCCCGGGATTCTACGCGATTTTTCCCTCGTTATTTCTGTGCCTCCACTTTTTTTTTGTTTAATAACCGATCTGCTTATCGAAGGAAACGTGTTACCCTTCACTCGACGTAATTACAGAATTCCGGTGTGCCTACGTGCGTGTTACTGGTCGGACGACGACGTCATCGTGTCGTAAATTTGCGATTAAGTATTCGGAGGGAAGGGGAGGGTTTTGAACATTTGGATCATTAAATTATTTATCGGTTGAGATTTGGATCTTGAGGAAGAAGAAGATACTAGTAAAATTTGGAATTTTTGTTGCTTAGGATTCATTCAGCTGCACGTAGTTATGAATAGTTTAATGATTTTAATGAAGTTCAGTTTTACTATTAAATTAATTGATAAGATATTATAGAAGTTTAGTTTGTCAATGAAGACCGATTTTTTGACGATTTTCAGAACTCAGCCCGCCGAACACAGACAGTCCTAGAGGTATTCAAGCCGTTCTTCCGCGGAGCGTTCGCTATCAAGGGTCTTCCTTCTGACAATCATCATTAGAAGATTCTGTTCATCGATCTGTCACTGAAAAATAAGCTCAAAGAAACATTCAGGGATTCCTGCGTCGACGTTGATCTGGCTGAGATCAAGCGAGATCGAATCAAAAGGAATATTCCAAAGACACGTGAACATAGTCTGCGTTACAAAGTTAGGGTTATAGTTGAAACTGTAATTAACACGTTCGTTAACTAGTGGGAAGGATTTTGAGTGGAAGGATAGATTCAAGGTAGCGATATTTATTGAACAATTCAACGTAGAGGATGATTTTTTTAACGTAGAGAATGCTATTTAAGAAACCTGTGTACTGTTGCTCTCATTAACACTGCAGCATTGTTACTAGACCTCGCATTTTCATGTGAAATTATTGATAAAACAACGTCAAAATATTCACAAGACTTCAATGTACAATACACCTTGATAGAAGACTTCGAAAAATTGTATTGCACAGTTAAATGGCGTCCTAGAATCCGAGACGCCTCAGCGCGCAACCTATTTGCATGCCGACACTCCGGAGATTTCAACGCGTGGCAAGCGAGTGCTCATGCTCTCCGGTGAGTTCAACGCGTGGCGCCGGCGCGCAGCAGCAACTTGTTCGCACGCGATTCTGTTGCGAACTTTACATCTACAAATTAATGAGAGTAACTGTACGCACATGTGAACCGTTTATTTAGAAAGTGGCTAAGTCCATTAAAAAAGAGAACCGTGTAAAAATTACAAGATAATGCAGAAAAATAGCTGTTACAAGATAAAAAATTTCTATGCGTTTATGGAAAGTTTGAAACTTCGAAATTGCACAGCATGCACGCGCTATGATAAAATGTGTAAAATATCCAAAATGTAGTGTTTTCATAGTATTCGTTAGGGAAAATTATTTTCAGCCGTAACTCTACTTCTTTAATTGCGTTTATAGAAACTTGAAATTTCAACTTGATTTTTTTCAACGATTCAAACTAGTTTCACAACAAACATTCAGATATAAAACAATTTTCTACGTGTTCATATTCTACAAGGCAAACAAGCTAATAATTTCTCCGAGGTATTCAACGGTTACGATCTTTATCTAAATTACCGTGGCGTCTGTTTGCTAGACCGGCTGCTCGAAACACTTATTAATAATCTGAACTATCGCTTTGTTCCCTCCTCGCGACCGCCATAAAGTTACACGAGACCTAGAGAGAGAGAAAGATAGAATTATTAGTTCAGTGATCGTGAGCCGGCGACGAGGAAGTACCGCTAGGTAACACGATATTTCACTTAGCCAGCGGTACATCCGAAGGAAACGCCGGATTAGCGTTCCAGATACACGCAGAGAGAACGGATGAAGGTTTATTGTAATTTAGAATTTACGGATTTGCGGGTCACCATTTTATTGAAGCGAGAATCCCGCGGCAGGCTTTTACTGGCTCGTAAAAGCAAAACGGTGCAGTTTCGTCTTGACAATGAGCGATCGTGCTGGCAACGTGAATACTTTCTAAATAAATGGACTGAACGAGCCTATTTGTGGTCAGCAATAATTTCTTAACGCTGTAACTACCGAATAAGTCGAAACTATGTATTTATTACTTCTCGTTTCGCAATTATTGAGAAGATAGAAATGACTTTTCGAGGAGTTGTCGAGTAAATTGATTTATTCTTGTGCATTGTAATATACAAATCAATTGAAATGTTAACGGATATACTTTTATTCTTTCTTATGAGCAAATAGAAAACAGTTGATTCGATTATTTGGCAGTTCCAGCGTTAAGAGCGACTGGTAATTTGCGTTTCGCGCATCGATCGCGACACCCGAAATCGCGGGATTGCGCAATCCGACGATCGTTGCACGATCTATTAAGCAACGCTGCATTTGGGACGGTGTCTTTGACGCCTGACCGTTTTCACAGGTCCGTTCTGTTGCTCAATGTACCGTAATTGTCCGACTTGTCTCGCAATTATCATGCAACGCTGTGTAAGTAAAGTTTTCAGTGCTCCTGCGATTAACGTCGGTACGTTTTTCTTTTGCGGATGAATTCACAAAATGGAAACTTGGACTGTAGAATAAATAAATGCGATTTTTATGTTAGTCTCGTTGAATTCTTCCTTTACGCCTTTAACGTCTATATTACCGGCATCGTGCTTCCGGATTTCTGCGATTCTTTGTACGAAAGTTGTTGAGTTCCGAATTACACATAAATTCACCGATTATGTTTACATTCCAAATATTTGCTTAATTTCCTAGTTCCATTAGATTCACAGTGCTAAACATTCCATTGAAGATATTCCACGGAATGTCTCTGAATTACCGACTAATTTGCATACGTAACAGTTTCTGTATCGCGACGCTATAAATACCTCCGAAAGAAGTTGCTCTCAGTTTCCCAGACTTCCGTGTCCGGTGAAAGGGTTACTTACACATTGGCACGAAAAGAAAAGGAACGGAAAGAGAGAGAAACGCAATCAAGCATCAGCGTGAACTTCCTAACATTATTTGTACCACCTGCCGATGGAATGACAGAATTACGCAATTATTCTTGCGTAAGGTCAATATAGACAAATCTAACGATCGAAGCTCCGTAACGAGTAATTAAAATATTCAGTTACTTTTACCTGAATTCCAGTTACCTAATTGTTCCCCGTAAAACCATAGAATTCGACGGAAACCTGCGATTGACACACGGGATCAAAAGTGCCCGGAGAATCCAGTATTTTCAGCAACTCGCCGGAAACTGTTGTATAATTCATGAATGTAAGTTAATTGAGAAAAATTTCGTCCATTCAATACTCGTTTAATGAACTGTCAGCGTCGCTCAAGTTCGATCATTTTAAACTGAAAGGAACGTTTTTTTCGCGCAAACGTTTTAGAAAGTGCACGATTTGCAATCTCACCGTGTACACGGCTGAAAGGTCGTAGGTTCAAACGATTGCTACATTGGAAGGTATCGACGTTCGCGGAGAAAAACGCTCGAGAAAAAAGATCGACGCTATTATAGAATAGATCGGCGCATCGCTGTCCTTTGAGAAGTAGGCGTAAAAATCCGAGGAACTTTGTATCGCTCGACTGTCAATAGAAACGCAAATAAAGTGGATTATGCAACCGGAGGTCATCGGATGCTACGGAGGTCGCGACGCCTCTGGTACTAAAGAAATGCAGCGTTCGTCCTAGTTCTAGATACCTCGTGGCATCGATAAACGAGACTAGTCACAGGTAAGTAATTATGAATCGAGGTGCGCTCCACTTTCCTGGTTATCGCCGACCATCTATTTCATCTTTTTTGTTATGGTGCAAAGTGTATCTCGCCGCTTACGTATTGTACGGACCATCTTTGTTTCCTGAGTGAAGGTCGCGTTCGTCAGTCATTTGGACTACGTCTGGGCTAGTAATCAATATTGTAATATATTATTAACACTAAAGCTACCAGACACGTCAAAATTACCTATTTCTGATTTCTTCTGTTAGTAATTGAGAATACAAGTGTTTCTCAGAGAAATGACGAAACAAAATATAAGCCAACGAAAATTTCAATGAATACTCTTATATCGCAAGAAGGATAAAATAAAGTAAATTTTACTGCTAGGTAGTTCTAGTGTTACTATTAGTATTAATATTTTATTTCCTAAAAGCAAAGGCAGCCCGTAGAACACGTAAGTATCGACTGTTTTTCGTTTCCATGGATAAAATCGAAGGGATAGCACGGTTGCTGAAAAAACACTCGCATAAATTGTCTTGCTCGTTTCGCAATTTCCCGAGCCACGTGTAAGTAAGCGTTGCTTCATCTTTGTTTTAATTTACAGGCAAAAAGGCTGCTTAAAAATGGCGTTGGCTATTCGAACGGCGAGTTTCGCGCCGCCTGAGAATCTGTTTCACGTTGTGCAAACCTGATGATCGTTTTGAGACTAATCAGGCGCTGACTCCATTGGCTTTTCATTTAACTGTTTCAGTTCTTTAATTTGTTCCACAGTTTCTTTCAATACTACACTCGTTAGAATTATTTTATTATTAATGATGTATCCACCAACCCTTAAGGGAGACTCTGTAAAGAAATAAAATCAATCAGAAGCATAATTTTTACCTACACATCAAGTTCTTCAATTATCTGATTATCCTAGGATCTTCTTTTTCTGACAGATCTTTGAACACATATCTGAATGCTTAAAAATTCTTCGATCAATCTTCCAGTCATTCGAAGAACACTGATGAAGAATCTCACATCAAGGATCAAAAATATTGAACCAACCGAACAATCAGATTCTATTCGATGATTTCTCACGTAACTTGCTCGTCATCTCGGTTGGCCCATTTTCCACGAAAAACAATCGTCCGTCGTGTCCATTCGATCCACGTCACGTCAAGGGATTTTCCTGCCGGTGATGATTCATGGTCCGGATAGCCACCGAAGGGGGAGAGAAACAGGAATTTCGTAAATTTGTTTCGTGTCCGCGGTGCGTAAGGTCTTTCGTAAAAATACGAACGACCTTCGAGGCCGATTCGAGGCATCGGGAGGCGGAGAAACTCATCTCGTTAGTGTCGGTCCCACCGTCCGCCAAGATGCACTTGTTCTTACGGGTTTGTCCGGCACGCGTGTGTTGCTCGTTGCGTCGCAAAAGCTGATCCGCGATTTGAACTATAGAACGCTAGGGAACTTCTCGTCGTCCCGTCACCGGCTAGTGAGATTTCAACGTTGAACACTCGAGCGTATCGAAAATAGTGAGTATGCAAGTATAATGTTCGTATCTTAACTCATCGCGGCCGATAACTCTGGCATTGTTATTACAAAGTAATGCAAAATATTCTGCTTATCGCATTTTGGTATTGACAGTGAAATAATATGCTAACATATAGGTACAAATAATATAATAACTTACTAAAGTTAAAAGTATGTTAGAATATTGATCATTTAATTATTCTGAGGGTGAATTATTGCGAAGTAATGCAAACTATTCTGCTTATCGCATTTAGGTATTGATAGTGAAATAATCTACTAATTTACTAAAGTTGTATGTTAGAATATTAATCATTCGATTGTTTTAAATGCCAAGGAACGATTACTGACAAAAAGTGAAATATATATACCTTCGACACAAGTCGATAACAGCGATAAACAATCGTAAGAAAACAATGTAATTTCCATTTTGGTTGTTGAAATTCACAATTTTCCGCGATCGTGCATATTCACGAACGAGAATAAACTGAATTGAATGAAACGTGTCCGGTTCCGTTCACCTTTTTCTCGATAAACTCGATGTGGCTCAAGGATCGCTAACCGAGTTTCAGAAATTTTGATCGAGGCCGAAGGACCACTGGCCATCATTTCATAACCCATTACGACGCTGTTACATAAGTTCGACGCCGACCACGCTTTATTATACAATCCGCGACCGAAATTTCGTAGGATATTTGCATCGTGGATTCCAGGTTTTTTTTTTCTGTGGAAATAGTCATCGGATTTCGCAAGGCGATCCACGAGTAACGAACGAATCGGGTGACGTGTAAACGGTTTCTCGATCGCGTGAAAAACACATGGCACCGACGCCGCGCGAGTGACGCTGTAAATTGCATGCTGCGTGCTCCATGTTTTCACTGCAGCCCCGTGCAGCTATTCGCATGATATTCGCGTTCAGTTCGTGTTTCGTCTCCCGAAGTCTGCGTGTCAAAGTAAAAATCATGTCTCGTATTGTAGGATAGATATACTAACGAATTCATTATTTTCCGGTGAATTTAAAAATCTAACGAAAATCATTCGCCTTTGTTCACTTGTATTCTGCTGAAAATAGTATTTTAGAATATAAATTTATGGATATATATGTATCTTAAAATATTGTAGATGTTTGATAATAGATATTGCTTAATTTCTTCAATTTATTCGCGAAAATAGTGAATTAATCGGTGATAGTCGTTTGAGTTTTATAGTATTACATTATCGAGTGACTTCTTAAGCAGAAAATTACTCAGAGATTGTCTGATGACTGGACGATTTGGAAATCTGTTGCAGGACGTCGATAATTTCGCAGAAATTGCCCAGCTATTCCTGGTAGCTCCACAAACGAGGCTCGATTCCCTGCGACAGGATAATACGGAGGAATTACATAAGGTTTCGCGACAGAAGATAACGAGGACTACGCAACCAGTGTTTGCGGAGAGCAAACGAAAGTGAGTGGATACAGAAACGGTTCGTTGTTATCAGCCGCGGAGAAGGGTATCGTTTATATTCGCTTTTCAGCATAATATTCGCTTGAATCGGCGACGAAGGCAGTGACGAACCCACGCTATTTTCTCGAAAGAAACAGAATTTGTGGACGTCATTTCGTTCAGGTCGATACACTCGAAAAGTCCAGCTGAAGCGTTGAACTTTTCTTTTTGGAATTCTTGGAGGAAGTAGTGGCAAATTTTATTTTTAGAATTCTTAGATGAAATTACGACAAATGCTCTTTTTGGAATGCTTAGATGAAATTGTGGCAAATTTTATTTTTGGGATTATTAGATGAAATTATGACAAATATTCCTTTTGGAATTCTTAGATGAAAAATGGCAAACTTTATTTTTGGAATTCCTTGATGATATTATGACAAATGTTCCTTTTGGAATTTTTATATGAAATTATGACAAAGTTTATTTTTGGAATTCTTAGATGAAGTAGTGATGAAATTTCTTTTCGGAACTCATAGAAAATATAAAAATTTTCTTTTCAGAATTTTTAGGACTTAATCTAATAAGATTTTTTCTTTTGAACTAGAAATTAACAACACTAGATTCTTCTGTAATTTTTCGAAAAAATTAGACACCTAATTTCCTTCTTGATCTATTAGGACGACTCGTGATAATCATACATTTTTAATATATAAATTCCATGCTCACGAATCAATCCATTAAACCTTGATTCAGAGCATGATTCAGAGTACAATAATTCAGAGCCTAGTTACCGTATGGATTCCTCGAATAAGATTTACATAAGGAGAACCAATAAATCAAGAAACACTGACATTCTGCCAGTTAATTGCGTTTGTTCTTATGCTACATTTATCACGCGATGCATAGCGTGCGGCGGAATTGCGAATGTGCTCTTGGCAGGATCAACTGAAGCGTCCTTGACGGTTGATCGCATTTCACCTTTCTCCCGTCACGTATCGACGATTTATCGATCATATTTGTGCAACTCGTATTGTATCGCGTGTTCAAACATTTCGTACAAGTACTTATTCTGTCAGTGAATAAAGTGTTATCGTTTGATATCACTATTAACAACCGATCGTAAACTCACGTATGATCAACGATCATCTGGAACACATAAAACGATTAAAACTTCGTGAAAAAAAATTGATTACTCTATTCCATAGCAATTGATATCGTCCCACTTAATCGAACATTGAAAGCAATTAGCATAAGAATTCGAGAATTATGAAAAACAGCAAAAAACAGCGAAGTTCTCTTAACAATTGAGATCGTATCGTTCGAACGTAAATCACAGGAATGTAATCAACCGTACATTGGAATTCAATGATTCCAGTTCCTGATTAATTCAGGAATCCGACGGACGTGTCATTCTAATTCCTGTCCCACGCGATGAGAATCACTGACCCGCAACAGGTGGACGTCCGCGTTGCGTAACATCGACACTTAAAACGTCCGCGCGGTCGTAAACGGTTTTGAACGGATGTCATAGAATATAGAGTGAATCACACGTTCATAAATGTCCGCGTCTTTTTTATCGACCTGCGCGCGCTCGGAGCTTTGAGAAAACATCCATCGTGGATTCCTGAAAGAGCAATTAGAGAGATCGTATCGCTTGTGTGGCGACAACCATGTCAAATATTTACTTTCCACGCAATAGAGAAATTTTTCTTCGTCGCGCGACGAGGGGAAATGGGAATTTTTGTGGTTCTAACGTTGCTTGCACTTTACTTCGAAGAATTCAATAGTATTCGCGTTTCCTAAATTCCTTATTGATTAGGCTCTAGGATCTTCTTGAACCTTGGAATTCTGTTTTCCCTGAATTCTTCTTTCATCTCTGAACAACTTGTATTTTATTACTGTAATATTAGGGTCCAGGATCTTCAACCCAAATCGAGATTAATCTTTGCTCCATAGTTAGAATTCTGTTCTCCCTCCATTCTTCTTTAATCCCTGAACAACTTGTATTTTATTACAATAATACTATTCACCGTTTAATTATGGTAACATACAAACTTAACCCTTTGCACTCGATAGGCGCCATTCAGTCGCCATTTGATTTGACCCATGGAAATGATAAAATTTAGAATTCAATATTAAACTTTTCTACAATGTATCAACACATGGAACATCGAAATAAAATAGTTCTGTTGCTTAATTTATGCAAGGTATTTCTTTGTGTTACTTGTAAAACGTATCATTGATATTTCATCAGAAAATAATGAATATTCATTGAGGAACAAAGCTATTTTATTTCAATATTTCTCAAATTGATGCATTATACGAAGTATAATATTAAATATCAAATTTTATAATTTTACGAAATTAAATGATGTGTGACAGACGCCTCTCGAGTGCAAAGGGTTAATATCGTGTTCCTCAACGAGTAAAGACGATTTCAACCATATAGTAGTATACTATATATCTTCACAGTCCCACAAGTGCAGAAACAAAAGAAATACATTCAAAATCTAACATTTCTCTCTAATGTTCACCATTCACGAAAAAAACGATCGATCGCGAACAGCCTGTACAGTGATATAAGTCGATCCCACTGAAGATCACAGTCCGTAAAATTCAATTTTCAGAAAATTAACCGGTACGTAACGCGTTCAGGCTGATTTTCCGGCAATCATAGTTAATTTCCAACCGAGGAAGTGCACCGAGGGTGTAATCGGAGTGAAATAACGCGAAGCGGCGCGCGCGGGCGGTCGGTTTACGTTCGAGGAAGCACGTGGCCGCGCGACGCGGCCAGGAGTGAAAGTGAAAGATGGCCGGCGGTCCACGTGGTTTCGCTTTTCACGGGAACGCGGCTAAGTACCGACTCCGCTCAACTCCGGGCAACACGTTTGCCCGGCCCGTCTGCCGATCGTTAAACTTTCCGTGAACGTGCTTTCGTAATTGCAACCGAAATATCGACGCCGAGCGCAGTTTCGTTGAGCGTTCCGCGGCGGGCGTGTTGAAAACGACCGGGATAATTAGTGCTCACTTTTTGTAACGGACCGCATCGATGTCAGACACTGTTCATTCGAGGTTAACATTCGTAGGGAATTGGGTCGTGTTTCTTTAACCGGTTCACTGTGGAATTTAGTTGGAAAAACCGTTCTGCGCGCGATAAAATCGAAAAATGGAGCGTGTTCTCGTCGAACGCGGGACGAATGCACGTAGGGTATATTTTAACCCTCTGTAGGCTCATGTAACTTTAAAGTCACATATCAGTATATTGGCATCTCGTTGATTTGTTTCATTTTTCACTGGAAGCGGTGAATAAAGTGAAGTAATCAGTTAACTTCAACTTTTATACGCTCAGGCATGAAAGTTTAACGTCATTGTCACTTGAAAGTTACAGAATCTATTCGTTTGATGAAATTATTGAAACTAATGAATACATTGTTAATTCGTATTCATACGTGGATATCTATTAATTTTGTACTGCATAGATTTTGTTATAATAATGAACAAAAATTCGGCCCATAAAGGGTTAGTGAAAGATGAAAGCGAAACAAAGAATTGCATGTTTATGTGAAAAAATGAAGAATTCATGAAAGTCAAACACAGTTAACTGGTTAAAGACTTTTCTGTGAATAATTGGTGACTTATCGGAGGATGTGAAACTTGTTGAGTAGTTAATCAATTCTTGTTCTTTTTAGAGTCAACGGTGAGAACTATAGTGCTCGTGTTGTAAGATATCAATGATTATCAAGAAATGAGTCTCCTTTCTAGAAGGAACTATTAAGTCTGATTAGTAGTTCGACGTTTCCTAGTACGGAATGACTAATATTATCGAATTGTGATCCTCGTGCGGCAAGAAACCAGCTTTTCATCCGGAAGAAACCAGTTCTTTCGAAACTGAGGTACCCTGATCGAGACTAAGGGGAAACCATAGAATCGACATGGTGCAGCAAAGTAAGCTTGATGCTTCGACAATCCTGCATGATCATCCAGTAAATACTTAACCCCTTGCCGTACAATGAGTGAGACTCGTGATGAAGATTTCTAGACTAATTTGAACAATCAATGTTGTTAATAATAATAATCAAATAAATCAATGTATTATCTTCAAATGAAACTTCCGCTTGAAGTAGAAAATTTGGCTACTTTTCTAAATTGCCGATAGTGAAATGTTACACGAGTTTAGTATAAAATAAGTAGTCCGTCAATTAATACACGCGTTTCCGTAGAAAATATCATTCGTTGCCAATAACACTAGATGAATCCACGTCATTCTTTAAAATCTTTTTAAATTATTGCAAAAATAACAAATATCCCTTAAGGAATTACCGAAGAAATTGCTTCAGTATCGCAGAAACGTGTCCTAAATCAATTAAGATCCTAATAATCACGTTTATGAAGTTTCTACGAACAGTTTAGAAATAGATCAACTTAATCTCTCGACGGTTTCAGCGTTAATCGTTATCGCGACAAATTATCCAGCCAGTAATTCGAGTCCGAGCGGAACAAAACTCCGTTTATCAGGTTTCCATGTTGCCTCCGGTGTCTAGACTGAATTCAGACACGGCAATTTCAGAATTACCCGCTGGCGATCCGCGTTCATTGCACCGTGGAGCTTCGAAAGTCGCGCGCGTGTATCGGCTCGGTCCGCTCGCGTAATTCTGTACCGGAGACGTCGTTTCATAAGATCCAGAAGCAATTACCGTGTGTATCGGTTTTCGAGGCGGCGGGCGGCGGCTCTGATTTCACTTCACTTGGCCGTGTTACGCGATGACCGCGAGTTTCGTAACGAGTTTCAGGGGTTCCTAATCGTTCGATACGGGAAAACCGTTCGAATGAAAAGGAGCGCGGGAGCGCGTCGGAGATTCCTCGCGCGCTGGAGGAGCGGGTAACCTCGAGCTGTCGTTAATCAGAGTGTGACGTTCACTTGATTGCACCGCGAGAGAAAGATCTCTGGTAAATCAACTTAACACTGGTTCTACCGGGCGTTTAACACGATTGATATGTAATCTGTAAAAATTGTAACAATAGATTAGTTTCAGTTTCTTTGGATGTTCATAGTACTCGAGTGAAACTGTTTATTTCCGAAATCATTTCAAATGTTTAGTGCTTTCAATTAGAATTAGATTTCATGGAAAACGACTCAAAGTATTCGACAGTGATTAACACTGGAACTACCGAGCGTTTAACACGATTGATATGTAATCTATAAAAATTGTAACAATAGATTATTCTCAGTTTCTTTGAATGTTCATCATAGTACTGAAGTGAAGCTGTTTATTTATAAAATCATTTTAAATATTCAATGCTTTTAAGGTATTAATAACTGCGAAACAAACAAATCGAAACCAGTCATTTTGACTGTAGGTAGTTCTAGTGTTAACATTAACAAAACGCGTCAGAATGTCCCATTCCTGATCCCTTTTTGAAATTATTGAGAAGATAACGGATGGTTCTCTGAGGAATCATTGAAGAAATTGATTTAGCAACACGCAAACTGAATTACAAATCAATTGAAGTCTTGCACTCCTGGAGTTTCTATAGAGGAATTTCGAAAAGTCAATTTAAACTGATCGGTTTTAGTGTCATTTTATTTTCAGAAGCAATTAATTTGAAAATATACCCTAATCTTTGGAAGAATACACGATTAATGATTTACTCGAAAACTAAACGTCTGTTTAACTACCACTCCGCAATTCTCACGCAACAAGGGACCATTGCATCACGCCCGAAAATCAACGTCCGATCGATGGTGTCGACACTCCCGAAACAATATTATTAACAGATTCAACGCACGCGTCGTCTCGAGGCCGCGTTCACGTGGAAATAGAGCACGAAGCGAACCGTTCAGCCGATGTCACTCGAAACGCCGAATTTTACTCGTGATGGTCAGTCGCGCTCGATCTAGCTCGGAGTTTAGTTCCTCTAACCGAACGATTACCATTATTTATTAGAACAGTAACCATCAATTCCTATGTTGTCCGACTAATCAGTTCTCCAATTCTTTCCCTTCCTTTCCTCTGTTCCCCCTAATAAAAATTCATCATATTTCCCACCTTTCTCTTATAACCAGTTATTTAACCTTCGCCCTCGAGAGGTGACTCAGTCGCCATAACCTAAATTAAAATTTCATATAACAAAACTAGTGTTCTATATAACATCAAGTTCTCATACCTTTTTTAATTTAATATTTAATAATACCATTCTTAGTTTACGTATACTTTTTCAATTATTCAAAGAGTCTAGTCCACGTCTTACCGGAAAGTGTCGAGCGTTTCCAGTGAAAAGCTTCCCAGTGCGAGGAGTTCACGGAAGGAACAACGATACGCGAAGTACCGGTTAACGTTCCGTCCGGTAAACAAGCGGTTTAACCGTAGATCGGAAGGATCGATATTTTCAAGTGTGTTCGAAAGTACAGGGAGTGAAAGCGCGACCGGGTTGCACGGGCAAACGGTGTTTCTGAAATTCTGCGCCGGCGAAGGTGGCTCGTCGCGGCGTCAACGATGCACGCGTGATCCACGGACCATAATTCCGTGGGCGCGACGAGGCGCGTCGAGTTTTCCGCGTTCCCGGGGATGCAAAACGGCCGTTGGCCAATCGATTAGTACCATTTAGATCGAATGAGGCCGCGCGAGGCATACGAATCGCCTCGTCAACCGCGTTTTTGCCATTTTACTGGCGACCGATCGCGCGAGGCATACGCGATGCTCCGATGACGCGGCCGCGATGCAACTGGTGCTCGTTTCCTTATCGAGCGCGCCGTGCATGGATCCCTGATAGTTCTTCCAAGCCGTTCGAACCGATTCTGCATGAAATCGCTGGCTGATCGAGCTGAGCTCCGTTGACGAAGCAAGTATCAATATTATCGTTTAGTCGAATTGGAATTAATTTTTGTGCCATGGACGTTTTAGAGTGTAATGTTGATCGGAATGTATGGAATGTGTGGAATGAGAAGTATATGGAATGTCTAGGGTGTGCTTTCAGGGTATTTGTTAGTGGCAATTGTTCTATAATGTGATTCTCGGTGTCAATTATGCTACTCGATATTTGAATTTACGCGAAGGTCTATTTATTACTCTTTACTTTATAAATTCAATTAGTCTATTTATTGCTCTTTATTTTATAAATTCAATTAGTCTATTTATTACTCTTTATCTTATAAATTCAATTAGTCTATTTATTACTCTTTACTTTATAAATTCAATTAGCCTATTTATTACTCTTTATTTTATGAATTCGGTTTTAATTTTCCAGCGATTTTGCTTATGGAAATAAAACTGAATCTCTCTACTTTTTGATTCTTTAAGAATTCTTTGATAGAGATGACGTCCAGTTATGTTTAATAATATCAGTTAATGTTAAATAGACTGAGAGTATCGAAACATTTTTATAAAACATTCTAATATATATTTAACTTTCGAATGATTCGGGTAGCTTTTAAGTTCTAACAAACCGATCGTTCCACTTTCTTTCTAGATGAAGACGCCATCGGTCGGTTCGCTGTCAGCCATTGTATTCCTCTCATTCTTCGTTAGCCCGCTTCAAAGCGACCCTCAACAGATTTACTGGTCGAATTACCCGGTGCATCGTCCTCTGGATCCACAGTCGCAATCAACAGAAGAATTTTTGGATCAACTCGGTGCTGCAAGTGTTCAGGGTCCGTACGTTCCTCGATACGTTCCTGAAACTCCTCCCCTATATGAGCCACAAGATTTTGGAAGGGATAATCTGAACCACCCTATCAGAGTACCTGACACAAAGTATCAGCAAAGAGGAGGATACTATGATTACCAAACGTCTGCGTCGAGAGACGAGGAGAAACAGAATACAAAAGGGGATGAAGATGACGTCAGACTGTCGCAAAGTTCAGAAATCGTCTCGAAGGAAAAGGAGATCTTGAAGAACATGCATATTCTTGATAAGCTGCTATCAGAGGACTCTAGTGACATCGACGACAATGTGTTAGGTGAGAAGATTATGTCCGAGGAGACGAAGAGGGTCGCTAGGGCGATACGACAGCAGAGGCCAGGGTTCTTCTGGACCCTCGCTAGAGTGACCTTCGAGGTGAGTCAATTTAACCAGTTAAGTGTGGAATTTAGTGTGAAAAATCTCTCATTGTCGCAATGAAATCAAGTAATGAAGTGTATACTCATTAACACGTTGAACGCACGATTTCGTAGAGCAGAATACACAAAATGGGAGACATATAATATTAAATCACTCGATTGAATTGCATTGTTATTACTGCAGGTTCATCTAGCTGAATGTCACATTGGTTAGCATTATTTATAGTATAGAAATGTTTTCGAATAATCGTGGTTTCATTGAGTAAACTATAGTAATTCGATTTGGTTGTGGGTCACGTGTTAAATGCAGGCCAAATGCACTCAAAATATATTATAACGAAGAACTAGAGCGAAACGAAGAATTACATGTTTGTCTAAAGAAATAAATAATCCATTGAAAAAGTTAGCGGAATTAAGAGTTTTAAGGTGATGTTTATACTCGTCAAACACAGTTAACTGGTTAAGATGGGAATTTTGAAAGTCTCAATGCGGATAGATAAAGGAAGTATAAAAGGAAATATAGAAATCGTATTGGCCATCACTAAAAAATCCCCATAAGGAACGAAATTATTTATGGAATGCCCTAAAAATTGATTTACTTGTTCCTGCTGTTAATTCATTCGCTAAGAGATCCACAAACGCTCTCGTTCCAGACGTTCAACGACACAAGATCAGCCCTCCAGCAGATCAGCGAGATCATCAACAACAGCATATCGCCGGATTCCGCCACGCAGAGTTCCATGCCCAGTGGTTCTCTAACAGCAGTTAGCACTCCGCGGAACGCAACCTCCGCAAACGGAACGGAATCCGCGACGACGCCGTCCACGACGACCACGCAAGCTCCTTTCGTCCTAACCAGGAACAGTCTGCAAAGTCTGATCAGACGAAACGTGCTAGGCCTCGTGAAACTCTTCAACCTCGAATGGAGCGACGCTCTGAACGTAAGGGATCTAGCTACGATCATGTTCCTCGTTGGTGTCCACTCGACCGTCGTTTATTCCTCTTCCAGCAATCGGAAGTATCGGTGAAAGAGTTCCAGAAGAATCTCAACACGCAAGTGGGCACCTTCCTCCAGGACAATCCGAACGCGTACTGAGGATCCTGAGGGTCCAAATTTCGACAGTGGCGCGTTACCAAAGACTGAATCCCTTGGATCGATCGTTATTTATACAATCGTTGAAATGTACCGTTTTTACGATCCGAATTAAAGTTACGGTGAAGTTAGAAAGCGAGTTTAGAGCTTGCCAGGGCTGTCTTACTCGGTAGATGCATGAAGTATTGTGTCTAAGTCCTTTAAAATAAAGTTTAGAGTGTATTAGAGGTTCTAGAGTCTAAAGAGACGTCTGTAGGACCTAGCAGAATTAGAGGAAGAATGAAACATGATTGAACAAATGTCTAGAGGCTATAGAAAACTCTAACTCCCACGGATCGCCTCTAGAATCCATGTAAATAGGTCGACACGCGTAAACAGTATTCAACGAAGAATGAAGCAGGTTAGCGACACATATAGTGGGTATAGAGAATGATCTACGAGCAGAACACCTATACGAGGTGTCATCGAGGTGACTAGGAGAGTTGCAAAAGCTTCGTAATATCTTTATAATGTAGAGAAAAATATGACTATATGTTTAGCTCTGTTGATATTATAATATCAATATTAACTATTGATCAATAATTAATTATTGATTGATACTATAATATCAGTATTAACTATTGATCAATAATTAATTATTGATTGATATTATTATATCAATAATAACTATTGATCAATAATTAATTATTGATTGATATTATAATATCAGTATTAACTATTGATCAACAATTAATTATTGATATTATAATATCAATCAATAATTAATTATTGACCGAAGCACTTGCTTGTATCACTCATACCTCAGTTACTCAGTTTCCTCCAGAAAACAGTTTAGCCGCTCTATGGGTACATACGCGTACACAGTCATCCCCGAAAAGGATGCAGTGCGATGACGAAAGGGACGAAGAGGTTTCTAGATGCATCACTTCGAAAGGGATGGTATGTACAGCCAGACGATCAGGTGAACGTTTAGAACACGCGACGGTATTCATCGGATTCGAAGGCCACCGAAACAGGTCGCCGAAAAATACGCACAAAAGCTGTGGGTCCGATCGAGTTACGCCACCGGCGAAGATCATCGTCCGACGTTTATGTAACTTAGCTCCGACCCACATGCCGGGCTCCACCTGCGGGCGAATAATCGGCGAAAGAGGACAGACGGGATCGAGCGCGAATCCGAGGAGACCGATTGTGGTAAGTAGAAAGCACCTTGCCAGTTGCTTCGATTGGTCGGCGGCCAGCGTGGGATCTCTCGGCCGGCTCTTTATATGTGGTTCACCGCGGTAGATCTTCACGAGTCGAACGACGTGGTTCATCGTTCGCCGAACACCGATTGTCGCGGAGCAGTGTCGCGCAGAGGGTAATCGATTTCATTTTCATTCGCCGAAGTTACTCCCGAGTGTTGTGTCTGAATACATCGAAGCTTCGCTTGGATCAGCTTGACATACACCGGTTCAGCGGAATGTAGGGTAATCTCGAAATGTTCAACCCTAATCAGGCCATGATGTGACTTTTAGTCATATTTGAACTTTTCACTGAAATATTTTGATTATTTCATATTGCGTTTAAAAGTTTCTGTGAGCTTTGAAAATTTACAAAAATCATTTTATTCTCATGACTGATCACATCGTGGTATTATAAACACGTGGTACGATTAGGGTTACACGGAGAGATAGGATCACTGACGCGTGAACAATAGATTTGATTCGATAGATAAACATGGCGTTGATTGTTAATTGATTCGTTGATTCGGTGGTTGGTTCTGTTTGTGGGATAATTTATGATATCGTTAGGTAATTAATAGTTCTAGGAGTTCAGGTGTGTTTGCGCGTTGATCGTTACGTTTGATCTAAGACGGAGTGCCATTTTTATCGACGGCATTAATGGCTTCGGGAAGTTCGAGGGAAAGAGTGATGTGAGACGCAATGGAGTCTTATTCGATTTCCTCCTACATCTTTTCTCGGGGGTTTCCAGCGGCTATAAATGCGGAGAGATTTACAATCCAGTCGTGTCTAATAAGGATGGTCAGCTGTAACTGCTTGCGTCATTGCTTTCCATTTTCCAGGTGCCCGTTACGAACGATTCTGTACTTTGTAAACACCTTCGTATAAGTATGTAACCGATCGGCAATGAATTTATTCATCGATCGTACTTGGAACCGGAGATAATAGCGCGCGAGGATTGGCTCATTTCCATAAATGATTTCAAATGTCTTCGATTTAACTGCTTCCATTTCCATTGAACTGTCAAAGTCTCTTTCACTTTTTACGATCGACGTGTACGCTGCCGTTCAAAGCTTTGGGACCACTGGGAGGTTAAGGAAACCTCCGTTTTGTACAAGTAATGTTTAATTGAGAATTTTTGTACATTATCATAGATGTATTACTATTAAATATAAATATTAGAAAGAACTGAGAAAGACGTTTGTTAGAGGATTCTGCTTAAGAATTTTAACCTTTACGGGACCTTTCACGGTCAGCTCAAGGTCAAACACCTGAATACGTAATAGTTCACACTCTGTAACTTTTGTACATCAATAAAACTTTTTTAGAAAATTTAGAATTTTATTTTATAAAAGGTGCAATTCAATTTTGTGTCTGTCAATGAATTTATAGAAACAACTGGCATTTAAGTTAACTACTGTCTGGTAGTTAACACTAGTTAATACTTAATATTAACACTAGATTTATAGATCTTCAATCTACAGTTCATTCTATTAGTCTCAGAAAAATTGTTCATTTAGACTCCACAAATGAAACGTTTACAGATACACAATTAACCCTTTGCACTCGGAAGTATTTCGTTAGCGATACTTAACATTTTCTAACTAGACAAAGACGATGGTTTTTAAATGAATTCAATGTCCTATCAATGTCCAAGTTTCTGTAAAAAATAATGTCACCCGAATTCGGGCGACGTGGCAGTCAAAGTGTTAAATATAGTGTTAACTCCTAACACGTGTCATCGAACGTAGTGGTCCCAAGCGTTTGACAGACGCTGTACGAAAATACGCGGTTCGCGAAAGGATCCTCCCGGTGCAGCGTTCACCACCGTCGCTGCGCTTTTTCCACGCCTCCGAGCAGCTGTCCCAGGTGACACTGATTCCACCCACGTTGTCGCATAGGTGGAAAGAAGGTGACAAGATCCCGCGCCGGTGAAAGAGGACAAAAGGAGGGGACGCGCGCGGATTACGTGAAATAGAAAGGACCAGTGGTCAAAAGGATCGCCCCGGGAATCTGATTGGTCGACGCTCGGCGTGGGATCTCGCAGCCACCCTTATAGATCGCTGGATCGTCGACGCGTTCCGCAGTCCGTCGATCGAGAAGATCGCTCGATACATCCTACGAAGATTTTACGAGAAAAACAAACATGTCAGGAACAACGTTCCTCTTCGTCGGTGCCCTTTGCTTCTTTGTTTCCACGGGGGTAAGAATTTTTCCAGTTACACTTAACCCTCGACCCTTAACCCCTTGTCTTATTTCATTCGGGGTTGTACTTGAAAACTACGCGATCGTTAGCACCTGTGATCTATTTCTGAACTGTAATCGATACTAGTTTGTCGTTAATCATTATTAGGAAAAGAATATTTGAAAAATTGTGAAAAATAAGTATACAATATTTAGATCTATTGAATTCGGTTGAAAATCTTCGATTGGCTTCTTCGAATGAAAAGATAATTATTTAAAGAGTACTAGATTTCGAAGCGTGAGTTGATTGAATCTTGTGTTTGTGTTTCGTGTTAAGATTCAGGTAGTGTAAATATTCTTATCTAACTCTGTTTGTTGATATTAGTGATACTGAATGTGAGTGATTAATGTAAACAATACGTTTCTTTTGTGTCGTACTTAATGTTTCAATGTCAGATTTCCTTGCGAAGTTGATAAGAGTTACGAGAGTTCAATCACAGTATTGTAATTGCTAATTTTGCTGCATAGAAATTTCCCACATAAAAATCTCGAATAATTGCGAAACAAGGCGATCGCAGACACCGTGACGTCACGATTCTTGCTACGTCACGACAGAAACAAACCGTTCGAAGAGGCAATGACGCGCACCGACAAGGCACGCTGACCTTTCGGATAATGGGGCACGCAGAAAATCGCTTAACGCTCTTTATATGTAGGAAAGTGAAAGCCGGCGGGGAACGTGGGCACGCGATACGTTCGCGAGCGAATCTACTCATCGTCGTAAACTACGCTCGCCCAAATTCACAATCGCGGGCTCGCCGGACTGCGTGGGTCGGGTTACGAATGCGTCACGCGAATGAAATATCGACTCGGATACTTTTTATTGCAGACCGGTCTGAGGATCAAGCGCCAAACTGGTCCGGACGAGGGTGGACATGTCATTGACCACATTTTCAACGTAAGTTCTCCGCAAGAGGAAATTTTGACAATTTTCGAACGTTTCATCCATAATTCTGCTTTCTTTGTTCTCCATATTTTCAACATTTTACAAATTTTCCATATTTCCCACATGTCCTATATTTTCATTTTTCCTTATCTTCCTCATTTCCCGCCTTTCCTATATTTCCCACACATTTTCCTTTGACATCAATGCTCGCAACCAAATTTTCCATACTTCTCACATTTCCCATATTTTCATTTTCCATATCTTCCTCATTTCCCTCATTTCCCATATTTCCCACACACTTTCCTTTGACACC